AACAGGACAAAGGTCCACCCCCCTGTCCAGTTCCCCTTTGGGCACTTGTACTGTAATATTGACATTCTTCAGAATAAGGCTTAACATGTTCAGTTACAGTCTCCCAGTAAAGAGTTCAATAAGCACATCTTAGTTCAGAAGGGACAAGTCAGTCTTCTTGCTTGAACCCAGTAACTGAGGTACTTTCTTTCAATGGCTTGCATCTGGTTACTACAAGGGTATACACAAGATGCACTCTCCCATATGACTCCCGCTCCCTCTGTAAATCTCCATGTGTCCAACTGCTTCATACTCCCTTCTGATAGCCTTTCTTTGCTTGAATCTCTCTGTGTTCAAGAGTTTGAAAATTTGGATGCTTACCAGAGCTGATACTGTTCCAAGCTGTGCAATACGCTGCAGATGCCAGACATAGTTGTAACTGAACAGCATACCACATCACTTCAAGCAGCCTGGAAGTCACTAAGACTCCACAGGCTCAGATAATAACTAAATGTCTTCCCATTCATAAGACTGTGATAGTTTCTTAATCATGAGACTCAACACATGCAGAAAAATGCAGTTCTAGCTGCATTATAGCTGCACTATAGCAACATGGGATACATAGGAAAAATGCAGTTTGCTGCTTTTATGTGTGGTCTTGCCCTAGCCGTTCATGCAGGTTCACAAGACCAGTGGCCACCAGTATCTTTTCCTTGAGACCTTTGACTCAAAGGCAGAGCCATATGCCAATGGGAACCACATGCAGAGAAGACTGTTTCAGAATAGAATCAATTTTAGAGAGTGGCCACCTGGCACCCTGCTGCAATGGGTTAAACGTAGGAATAAGACATGGAGTTACATTTATAGTTTAGGATCTCTAGAAACTACACACTTTGATATAAATAACCCAAACACTGCTTAGACATCTTTCAAGTGTTTTCTCAGTGCACCTTGAAATACCAGCTGCAAGATTCTGGTAAATACACTTGACTTGTTCTTACTTGCAAGATCAACTAAAACTTAGACCTTCCATACACAAAAATAAGACAAACGTCTTCTCAGTGCGTACTAAAAGGTTTTAATTAAATACAGTTATTAATAATATTCCATGGAGCCTTTTATGCAAGACCTTAAAAGTTCAAACAGCATTTCCACAGTCTATTGCAATGTCAGGAAGATACTTGTTTCTTACATAATGGGGGGAGAGTTTTCAAGGCAAACAGCTTTAGCCGTGATGCTTTGCTAGCAGCCAGATCTCTGCACCACACTTCTGAGGTGGATCCCATGGAAACAAAGGGCTTTTTTTTCTTATACAAGTGTAGAATTCACACATAGACAGTTTTCAGGTCTTTGTAAATCAAGGCAGCAACTATACTGCCCTGAACACTTTCCTGGATGATTGTTGCTGCCACACAACTTTTACACACTTCTGCACTGGATCAGCTCTGCCTATGTAGAACTGAGCTATTTTCCACAGCGTCAGATATGTCCTGTCCTGTAGAAATGGATCTTGCAACTTGCAGTGTCTTCTGCATTCAATATCCAGAACTGCGGCACAGTTCTGCCTCCACTGCCCAGAGGGAGTGCAAAATGCTACTCATTATGAAATAGTTATCTTTTAAAGGACAAGTATGCTGCAATCCCAGCTTTTAAATCACAAGAACTGCCTTCAATGGAATATGATACAGTTGCTCTTTGAATAGCGTTCCGAGTTCATCAGTTGCAAAGCCAGACAGAGAAACGTTTAGGTTCACAAAAGCATAATAGGTGAGAAAATACAAAGTATTCTTCCACACAGACACTTTCCCCTCAACTATTATACTTTCATGGATTTACACACACCACGCAATGCCAAATAGAGGAGAGTCACTCCAAAAGACTTCAACTAATTATTTTAGATCCCCAGTTCACCAAGTGGTTTGTCTATTGCGCTGATCCTAACCCAAGTCTTATATTTATTCTTACACAGATGCAGTAGCTACCAGGTTGTTCCAGCATATCGCCACATGTTGTTCTGGCTTGTCTACACGCACTTGTTTGCCACAGGAAAGCTAAGTAGTTACCATCTCCCAGGCAAGCACTAAAGATGTAAGCCAGTAATTTCTTATCCTCCACACTGGAGGAACTGAGCTCCTTCTGCCATGAATTCTAACATAGCCCGCTCTCCTTTGTTTGAATATAAGCACCACTGTTAAAGCCCCAAAACCTGCCTGGTTGTACTATCTAAATGAAAAAATCCACCCACTAGTCTGAATTCAAAGACATCAGACAACGGTGACTCTCCCTTAGGCATCTGTTGTAGATATTAGTCACCTCACTATTAAAGAAGCATGGCAATTTAGCTTTGTCTGCTTCAACTTTAGTTGGTACTTCTACCTTTACACATCAAAGCTTCTGGAACCCCAGATACATTACATGTCTGTGGTTACTTTCGCAACCTAAGCCTGGAATCTTGCAAAATACAATCATGCCTGCCACTGCTTTTAATCTCTATCTCCTTTACTCCCTGAATCATCTAGTCTATAATTTTTTTCCTGGAAATTTGAATAACCAGTCTGTTGTTATTCATACTTTGCCATTTGCCCTTTATATGTCGCTACACCAGACAAGCACCTTCCTGAATCTCCTTCCCATTCTCGTAACTTTTTCAAGTTAAACACACAACTGAGCTCTTCAGCTAAATCTTTACTGATGACCAGCCACAAAAGTTATAAAATTGCTCATTGGATTTGTTGGAAACCATACTTCTCACTTCTCAGTTAACACACAAAGAAAACAGCACTCTGTCCTTGTACGTGAATAAGAAAAAAACAGAGGTGCTGGAATAGAACACAAGCTGGAATAGAACACATATTGAACACTATTGGATCATTAAATACTAACATGCTTCTATGAAGACAAGTATATGGCAAGTGGATCTTTTTTCATTCCTAAGGTACTTACTAGCTTAAGCTATGCTACTTAGTTTTCCCCCCTGTTTTTAACATTTCTATCAAGTCTTCTGAATGTCAGACCATTAGTTTTTTTGATACCATCTTTACTGTTCCCTCTCCTTTATCCTTATTACAGAAGTTTATTTCCACTTGCTTTATTTGCCACTGAACTAGACACACTCTGTTAATTAAATTAGTCATTTTTCTCCTCAATGAAAGATGTAGGACAGAAGCAGTTCTCTGCCTGCCCACTACGACCACTGGTTCACCAGGTTCACCTGTGAGGCTTTGTATTTCAGAGCTGTGAAATAAAAGAGATTTCAGTAAGAAGGAAATAACACAATTGAACAAAAGGCAAGCTATGTAGCTCCTTACAACCAAATTCTGTTGTGGGTGGGGAAGGCACACTTGCCTTTTGAGGTGTAGGGACAATTTTATTTCTCCGACACGTTAAGATTTTCTGCCTGTCACATATAGTTCTCTCAAAAGCAGAAAGAATGTGACTCTGACATGAGTTTTCTATGTAGTTTTTTTTTTTAAAAAAAAGGTAGGCTGCTCATTCAAAACAGCAGCAGAGAGATTTATGACCACACAAAGTAGCAGCTTTCCCAGCAACAGATATAGTTTCTGCTTCAAAAAATTGCTTCAGTAAGGTCTAAATTTGAAAGCTAATTAAAAAAAAATAAATCACGCCCTATAAAAAAGAAGAGAATAGCACATAGAAGCATTTTGCCTCAAGCAGTTATTTTGTCTGAAGTATGAAGTTGCTGAAAATATTTGCCTAAGAGCAGATACATAGTATCAACACAAGCAATTGAAAGAAGACTGAATATACTAAAACCGTAATAAAGTGAGACTCTAACTTTAATCAATCACCTCCACAACAGAAGTTGTTTCCAGTCAGGAACAGCACCTAAAATGACAGACACAGTAATAAATTCTAGACTTTCAATCTTGTATTATCTCACCATCGCAAGCTGATTTATTTGGAATTCCACCTGGAAAGGATATAATTTATCAAGTTGTCATGGAAATGTGTCGCTACTCAATGCAATCACGTTACACATTTAAACATGTACACACAGATCATTTAAATTGACAACATTCAGCACGTACTTAGAATTCCTGTGATGTGGCTATTACACTGAAGTTGTAAATGTCAATTTACAAAATGGAGAAATATTAGTTTCGAACATATGAAAAAAAAAAACTATACTCACAGGACCAACAGAGGTGGGGAGACATGCTGTGCTTACAAAATAATTAACACTACTTGCCTCTGCAAAGCATCCTAGCTGTAACCTGATTTCCTGAGCCCAGCACTTTCCAGTGCTGTGTCTACAGTATTTTGTTAATATTTGTAGAAAAGGACCAGTAAAAGATGGCAGAACATTTGCAACTAAGCCAGTAGCTATAGAGTTTGCTTCAGCTAGCTGCCAGTTGGAAACACAGTTATCATGGAAGTTGTGATGCTGTTGTAACACAGGACTTTGAACTACTTCACCTTTGACACTGAACTAGGAGGCAAAGAAGTTATTACTGAACACTGGACAAATTTTCTCCTTAAAAACAGGCAGTCTGACTTGGGATGGCATCAGATTTTTAATTTTTTTATTTTTTTATATATGGCTGCTCCATACCACATTCAACGGGGCTGAGGCCACAACTTTGGGTCACAAGTACAGGGCTTCTCAAGTGACCCTAGGGTTCCCCAAGCACCCCCTCAGAGACTCACATCCTATTCTGCAGAAGCATGCCAACCCAAGAGCATTTGTACCAGTCACAAGGCTGGCACTGCACTGTGTCCCAGAGCAGGGCTAGGCTCACCTGCAAACCTGCCCCATCAGAAGGGAGGTGAGTCTGAAAGCCCAGAGAACAAGGCACCACTGCTTCATGTGCCAGCCTTGCATGCGCACTGCCTGCCCTGAGATATTAAAGAGGGCCAGCGAAGCATGGTGGAGAGCAGTGGCTGCTCCAGGTGAAATCAGACAGCAGCTAGTACCCTCACCTAAAATCCATCCAGGGATTGACATAGCCCCTGCCCTACTACCTAGTCTACGGGGGTGAGAACAGGAGCACAATACTTACTTTATCTTTCATGGCAGAGGGGACAGAGATCACCAGTTGCTTGGAGCCCCTGTTGAGCTTCTTGCCTGTGCCATTGCTGCCACTGCCACTCTCGACCTTGATAAGCCGGTGCTTGGGGGAGATGTACTTCATGTCAGGTGGCATCGCTGGATGGCGTTCACTGTGGCTGCGAACAAGGTGTGGGGAGCCAGCTGCACAGGTGGTGGTCGGCATGGCACAGCACGATGAGGAGGAGAAAGCCTTGGGGGCCACCTCGCCCAGGTCCTCGGGTGCAGAGTAGTCCAGGCGGCACATGGCACGCAGCTTGCGCAGGGATGAGCCAGGCCCGCTGTAGGGGTCCTCAAAGTCACGGTCTTTCTGGGCACGGTATGCACGGATCAGGTCACTGGTGTCATCGTGCAGGCAGCGGTGCAGAAAGCCCGGCTAGGTGTGATGGTGAAGGTGGAGGTGC